TTTGTAAATGTGACCTCTGTTGTGAATGTATGAATAATATTTTGTAAATGTATTATTTTTGAGACTAGGCACCATGTGTACCTGCTCAACTATATTTCTCAACACTGGAGATCTTGCGACGTGACTATTGCGGAAGCACACATTGTGATATCCATACTGAAACAATACACTGTGCAGCCCTAGGTCGGCATCAAATTTCCCAACCAACATCTTAACACCGTCAATTGTAAGAATGTAACGGTCCAAGCTGACCCAACAGAACACCAGTTATCATGTGTTTGCTCATCCAGAAAGAACTGGGTACCAAGGACACACAAGCACACTTTGTCGTTACTGTGTGTAAACAATGTATCAGGGTGTGAATGTCAGAAGGTGAAGGACGCTTCCTAGACAAACTGGCTGACTTTGAAATTCCATTACTGTTTACCAAAACACCTCAACTTTATACCCTTTTCACTGTTTCCACGCCCACATCATTACTTTCCGGAATTACATTAAACAACAGCGTCCATGTACGAATACAATTTTTGTCTTATAGATTTTTTACCTCCAAGCAAACAATTTCAAGGTGATCTTTGTGCTGGGCTTGCATTTTCTTAAGCCTAACTCAAACTGACATTCATGGCTTAGAAGATATTGATTTCTGTACATTTAAGGATGCGCCCCGCTGTTCCTCCCTCTTCCCTCGATCCCTCTTTCCTCCCATCACTTCTCGACTCTTGCTCTGAAGGCTACACGTGTTTCTAATTTCGCACCAGGAGGAGAGTGGCAGCGCCATCATGAGAGGGTGAGATGGAGTAGTAGTAGAGTGATGGGATATAGATGGCTGAATAAAACATTCTACAGGTGCAGGCCCTCATCTTCAAAGCAATGAGCAGCAGAGGTTCACTGATCCCTATTAAATATACAGCGCTGCCAACAATGTAACCTTCGTACAGCTACTTCTAGTGCGAACAGTGCAGACTCCTGTAGCCTGGAGCAAAAACACACGGTGCAGATGTCTTGTAAGAGTGTGTGTGCCTGCCTGAGAAGCCAACTTTACACTGACTGCACAGCGCATTTTCAAATCACATTCAAATATGTGTGGTGTGAGTGAGGCCACACTTTACATTCTAGTGTCCGTGCTGTACCGTGCAACACAATAAGAAAGAATGAATAAACAAGATACATTTATAATGCTTGATATGCGAGGCAGATTATCCAGGGAGATTAAACTGCCAATGTTTGGCCATTATGAAATTAAAAACATAAGCCTTTAACCATGTTTGCTTGGCTCTGCAATTTAATGAATTGTCCATAGAAAAGACATTCATGTTTTCATTAGCGAGAGCAATTTAGTCAATAAACTGAGTGTTTGTTACACATAAGCAATTTCATGTACATTAGCCAACACTTGCTTCTCTAAAAGCCGCATGACAGAAATCAGCATTACAGTGGTCATGCACAATAGACTATGGGCCTGAAAGACTCCTTCCATCTACCAGTAATTGCTACATGCTCTACACATACTTACATCCAAATGTGTAAAACAAAACTGATGCTTTAGCTAAAAGCCTTTTTACTCATAACACGTTGCTGTTAAAGGGATAGTTCACCCAAAATGAAGATTCTGTCATCTTTTACCCATCCTTCAAAAGAGTTTAAACTTACGAACTGGATTTGTGTATTTATGAATCGTGTTTTGAACTTACGAATTGGATTTGTGTATTTATGAATCATATTTTGAACTTACAAATTATATTTGTGTATTTTTGGATCATGTTTTGAATTTACAGATTGTAAGTGTATTTATGAAACATGTTTTGAACTTACGAATTTTATTTGTGTATTTATGAATCGTGTTTGGAACTTACGAATTGGATTTGTGTATTTTTGAGTCGTGTTTGGCGAGACAGTGGCGCAGTATGTGGTGCTGTCGCCTCACAGCAAGAAGGTCGCTGGTTCGATCCTCGGCTCAGTTGGCGTTTCTGTGTGGAGTTTGCATGTTCTCCCTGCCTTCGCGTGGGTTTCCTCCGGGTGCTCCGGTTTTCCCCACAGTCCAAAGACATGCGGTACAGGTGAATTGGGTAGGCTAAATTGTCCGCAGTGTATGAGTGTGTGTGTGTATGAGTGCTTGTGGCTTTTCCCAGAGATGGGTTGCGGCTGGAAGGGCATCCGCTGCGTAAAAACTAGCAGGATAAGTTAGCGGTTCATTTCGCTGTGGCGACCCTGGATTAATAAAGGGACTAAGCCGACAAGAAAATGAATGAATCGTGTTTTGAATTTAGAGACTGTAAGTGTATTTATGAATAGTGTTCGAACTTAAGAGTTGGATTTGTGTATTTTTGAATCATGTTTTAAATTTACGAATTAGATTTGTGTATTTTTGAAATGTGTTTTGAATTTATGAGTTAGATTTGTTTATTTCTGAATCGTGTTTTGAATTTACAAATAGGATTTGAGTATTTTTAAATCGTGTTTCGAAGTTACGAATTAGAATTTTTGTATTTTTTAAATACACAAATTCATACTATGGAAAGCAATGGGTGTCAGCAGGCAACATTCTTCACAATATCCTGTTTTGTGTTCAATAGAGAAAGAAACTTATAAAGGTTTAAAACCACATGAGAGAAAATATGTTAGGTAGTTTTCCTTTTTGGAAATCAATCTCATGTTATCCAAGATGTTTTTTCTTCAGCAAGTCTATAACATAAACAAAACTTGTATCCAAAACTGACAGAAATGTTATGCGACAAAATTTGCACTGACTGCAGACTGTTGAGAAAACGTTCATGACCATTTGCTGAGACCGTGGGTAATGTAAATGTCCAACTTATTGCACAAAAAGATCTTTTTGCTTTATAAGACATCAATCATATAGTCGGGAGACTCTAGAAATCATGTTGTTTAGCCTGTATGCGTATTTTTTAAATCTCAAAATGCCAGTAACTACAGACTTGCATATTGTGAATCAAAGATCACTGATTTCAGCCAAAACCTTCCTTAATGTTCAACTGAACAAAACATTTTAGAAGGGTGAGAAAATTTTACATATTTTATATATAAATATTTGGCTAAGCTATGCTTTTAATTGTGAATTTCCACAGTGAAATGAAGACCAGTCGGATCATTTGTAGTGAGAAAAACCCGTGTGAAAACCAGCGCCCACTGCTGATCGCTTTAAATCGACTTACATCGATTACAAGTGATTGAATCATTCAGAGACGCCTGTCAGCGGCGCTGCTTCTTTCATTCCCAGGTAAAGGTCAAGCAGAAAACGCGCGGTCACGGTCAAGCCCCCCAACCGCGCGCGCGCTCCCGCTCCAAATTAGGTCCCCACAAACCCCTGCTAGATTAACACAAGCAACGCCGACAAGAACCCTCATTAAGAGCGTCTGCCAGCGGCCACTGGGACAGAATAAACCCCCTCCATCCCCCCAGCAGCATCTGTTGAAGCGCAGAGCCCGGTATATGCGCCACATGGACACATTAAAAACCTATTCGTCTTTCAAGAGCTCGTGGCACCACTAATAGCCCCTCATAACCCACATACCGATTTAGACCGGGCACACAAGTGCTCCCACGACGCCGGGTGTCCATTTAAACAAGCCCAGTAATGACAGAAGGGCGAAAGAAAGAAAGAGGTCTGCTCGGCCATAAATCGTCGTTTATGCGCCGGACACGCCGTTTGCATGGGTTTCTTTGGCTCCCCACTAAATGAATTCACAGTTGCTGGGTTGCAGAAACCTCCCCCTTATTTACAGATATATACTACGAGAAATCTAGCCGTAAATTACTCACTATTCCTTCCTGCGGCAGGGAAGATCGTGTCACCTCCGTGACCGGAGTAATAAATTTTGCAGCGTGAAATGGGAAGGACTGACCATCTGAAGTTAACACCGTCGTGTAAAACTTCTCGCTTCAGGTGTCTCCACGTTAACCAGCACGGTAGAAGGTGTCGACTGAGAGTGAAAGTTTACACCTCTCTTTTGTTTTAACTGTCAGAGAAGTTGCTAATAATAATAATCCTAATAACAAGTGCAGTGCTCGCTCCTCTGCGCGCTCCCTCCTTCGGCTTAACCCCTTTATTCATCAGGGGTCACCACAGCAGAATGACCCGCCAACTTATCCAGCATGTTTTACACAGCGGATGCCCTTTCAGCTGCAACTCAGTCCTGGGAACCACCCATACACACTCATTCACACATACACTATGGGCAATTTACTTCATCCAATTCACCTAGGCTATACCACATGTATCTGGACTGTGAGCACCCGGGGGAAATCCACACCAACACTGGGAGAACATGCTAACTCCATACAGAAATGCCAACTGGCACAGCCAGAACTCGAACCAGCGACTTTCTTGCTGTCTGCCAGATTACTTTGTGTTAATTTGAGTTACAGAACCGTCATAAAACTTCAGACGGTCTTGATTTTATACGGCTGGAGTAAATATGTGTCGGCGAAGTGAAAGTTTACATCTTGGCAGAGTAGCTACTATTATCTTTTGTTTTCACTGCTGTCACCACACAAGAGAAGTTGGTGACTGAAGCAGTCGTTTACACGTTCTCACAAGTTCAGCGAGCACATTACACAAAGGTTACATTGTTTAGGCGGCATTAAGACGGAAAAACACTTGGTGTTGAGCAACTAAAATTCATGCCAATCTAACTGGAGCGTATCCGAAGGAGAGGCAGTGAAATAGCGCGGCGTCAATAAACAGCAGTAATGTGGCGGCTACTGTCGTTAAATTCCTCAACACACACCGTCAATGAAATGTGGCATTTATTAGTCTGGCGACATTGATGCTCGTAACTTCTGCAGACTCGTGATTATCCACTAAGGGGCTTGTCGGCGTAATAGCGCTTAGCAGCTTTCTTCCCCATGTGCGAGACATTTCAAAGCAGTCCTTCAACGATTTGAACGCGTGCGAGGCGTTTGACTATCTCCAACGCAAAGCTCCTCTTAAATAAACGGGAATAAACGCCGTGCCCAATGCCTTTAGTTGCGGCTCTTACCTTTTGTTCAAGGAATTCCAGTAGATGGGCTCCATGTTGGTCGCCGTGATCCCGAGTAAATCCACTAAGAATATCAGGAGAATTCCCAATCCATTTACACAGCCCCGACTCGCCATTTGAAATCCCGAATTCCGTCTATTTACTCCCATCAAAGCCGTGTGCGGGATACTCTCTCTCTCTCTCTCTCTCTCTCTCTCCCAGAGGCTGGAGATCTCTGGACTCGGAACAAAGCGTGTGCGCTTCAGGTGAATCCGTCAGTGTGATCAGGAACAACGTGTTTTGGGAGCCTGCATGGGTATCTACTAAAACACACAGCGGTGGACAGATTAAACAAAGGTGCAGTCAGTGGATTTAACAGCACAATTCCAGCTCTTTAGGAAAATGCAGCTCGTGGACAAAACTCAAAATCAATTCCCACAGCCGCTTTGTTGCTGTTGAGTTTACTTTTCCAAATAAACAGTTCTTTTTCCTTCACGTTTTTTTTAGGATGCACCTATGTTTTCCATTTCCTTTTCACTCCTACTTCATTCCCGACTAATTAGGACGGGAATGTGATGGCAGATGGATGATGGTTTGGAAAGATCTCTTCAGAAGAACATGTTGATGCTGGGTCTTTCGTTCCCCTGCTGGATGTTCCTGCTTGCTTCCGAGATAATTCCGCATACACCAATGAATCGTTACAATCCAGATAACACACTTGGAGAAAAAATGTAAACGAAAAATAATCAATGCAAATTCATTAAAATCAAGCTGAACTTAAATTTGCACCACTGACAAAAAATTATTGGCAGATTGTCCAGGGTGTACAAAATATATATATATTGCAATCCTTATTCATGGGTTTCGCTTGCAGGGCATTTGAGAATGTGCTCGGATGTGGCAAGTCATTAGATAGTTCATTTCTCGTCTGTCCTGCTTGGATTCTCTCGATGTGTCTCTCTCACTGGCTCCAAATCCGACTAGTGAGACTTGTTCCTAACGCTCAGCGCACACTGACAGACCGAGTTGTTTGAGAGAGAGAGAGAGAGAGAGAGAGAGAGAGGGGAGGGAGGGGGAAAGGGGAGGTGTGTGCGCTCGAATAAGAAAAATCCCATCTTCCGGCTGGAGTGCGCACTAACGGAGCGGATTTTTCTGTGGGGGATTTGTTTTTTTTTTCCGCATGTCGAGGTGCTACTAAATCACGTCAGTCACAAACATATCCATACACCATTGCAAGCATATTTCCCAGCGCTCATTTAAAAGAATTCGCCATATTCATGAATAAATCACAGTGCACTAAATTTGGTGACTGCTTCTTTCTCTGTTTGATGTGATGATGATGATGATCGCGATGCCTGCCCTGGCGCCCGATCACACCGATCAGCGGCTGTGCGTTCATAAGCGACGGCTTACGGAGCTGCAGCGCCCCCAGCGCATCCGCCGGTAACGGTGCATGTAATAACATTTCATGCTGCTGGTAACGACACTAATGACAGGCTTAGTGAGAGATGCCACCGATAAAGAGCGCGTTTAATAAATACCTTCTCTGTCCATTTGAAATCGGAATGATATTCGCCGTTCTGCGTATGGGAACGATCGGTAATTAATTGTGTTTGCATGCCTGTCTATTACATATGAAAACTACAATTAAGAAGTGTATTATGGACTAAGCGCTAATGATGAGACCCGAGGCGCAGGGAGTAAAACCCTTGCCTGCACTGACACCCAGCGGTCAAGTCATGATACTGCAGCCGTAATGTCAGTAGTGTAATGTCATTCTAATACAAGCCTGTATCCAGCCAGGTGAAGAGTGGTTCTTTTTTTCTCAAAATGTGTCCATTTTTGCAATTATATACCTCATTTTCTATTTAATTATGAGATTTAAATACATTTTAAGCACTATTTTTAGCTAAATTAGCATGTCGGATGGTCTTCATAACCACACTTTTTTGATGTACCAAAATATTTACAAAAGATTTAGAATAAAGAAATATGAAAAATATTTTATTACATTGTATATTATTTTAAAAATTATATAAAATATATTACATATATATATATATATATACACACACACACACACACACATATATATATATATATACACACACATATATATATATATATACACACACACACACACACACACGTATGTATGTATGTATATATATATATATATATATATATATATATATATATATATATATATATACACATATATATACACATACACATATATATATGACAAACTGGCCAGCACATTTAACTTAAATCAGTCAAAACTTGATCATTTAAAAAATATATAATAATAATAATGTAGAACTTTTACATTTTTCTAGCATCTCTTGTAAAAAAAAAAAAAAAAAGTACATTTGAAAATTCACGGATAACAATTATAGCCATATTAGTATCAAATTAATTTTAATATGGGTCGCTGTTGGTGCTTCACCTGTACCTGTAAACAGTATTCTCTATTTAAAAACAATACAGTAGCAAAAGATGACTTCACTTACGTCAGATTATATGTTTTCTAGCCTTTTCGATTAGTTATTTTCACTTATTATGATGGCATAGCAGTCAAAATAGGACAAATGAGCTCATAATTGGAACAAACTCTGGACCTTTGTCAGTGAGGGCTGGGTCTTTCAAACCACACGAACCATTACCCCTGGCTACAATGATGAATTGTAATTTGTAGCGGTAGTATTTGTAATTGTAAAATATTTTAGTGGGCGAAAAGAGAAACACTTTAAGTACACGTTCCCACTGTTTATTACTGGCGTATTACCTGCCTAATACAGTTTTTTTCAATTGTTTTGCCACAAATTTCAGAACCCTGGTGTCAATTTTCAAAACTCTACACACAAAATTCACCACCATTGCCAAAATTGCACATTTTTGCAAAACTCTTAATTCTTTTTTCAAATGCTTGGATACAATACACATAAGTGACAGATACTTCGTTCATTGAACTAAAATCACCATTTTAATGTAACACAATTAAACATCAAATCGATCCCATTTCAATACGAAACTCAAACCTTGCATTTGAAATAACCATATTCATTTAATTACCATCCTATACGAGCACTCAAAATAGGATATAACTGTTGCATTACTCTTGATGCATGGAAACAGTATAACATATTTAGATGATGAAAGTTTTGATAGATCAAATGACATCAGTTACCACAGAAGGTGACCAACTGGACTATATTATTTATGGATTTCATCCTTATTAACATTATTCCATATATATGGTTTCTATGTTCCATGTACCACTTTTTACAGACAATGTTTGTATGCAAGAAAGCCCAATCACAGCATAACGGCAGACCAGTGTTAGGCCTGGATTTGCATTGACAGAAGGTTCTTTCCAAGATGTTTGACTAATGAAAACTTCACTGTGATGTGAGGGGGAACCTGTGGCTAAATCCACAGCACCAGACTAATGGAAACACAGATTCCAAAACAGAAATCTGATATAAAATGTATGAAAATGACAAATGTGACAAAGTAATTTATAAGGATATTACATATATAAAATGTCATACTTGTCAGAATATTGCAAAAATTGCCATTTTTTTCAACCATTAGATCTACAAATATGTACATATATGTTATGTAAGTATATTACCTGTACAGTATGTAAAATCCAAATGCAATTTGTATATGTTGCTATATATCATGTCATATATCAGCTTATGGGAATATATGGGAACGTGCAGTGAGAAACTATTCTGTTGATTTTTTTTTTTTAAATTGTGCAGTAAACCTACGTTATGATTGAATCAATAAAACAATAGTTCAGTGTTTCCACCGTCTGTACTGTTCCTATACACTTATGTATAAACCATAACTAAACCTGTACCATATATTTTAAACGTCAATATTAAATGATTGTTAATCATTGTTTATTGAAATAATGTGTATCTTGTGTGCTGGTGAACTAAAGTGACGTTCTAGTGGTATTTGTGTGATGAAAGGATTATATGAACTTATAATCCGGCAAATGCAAAACTTCTTAAAGGTAATGAACGCAGCAGGCAGAGTTTTGAACACTGGAGAGCCTGTGTTAATAGTAGTGACTGTTTAGACTAGAGTTTTGTGTCTAGAGATTTGAAAATTTACATCAGGGTTCTGAAAATTGTGGCAAAACATATGAAAAAAGACTGTATAAAGATATCAACTGTTTATTAGTACTTTTAAGTTATGATCTTATTTTACATCCCAACTACTTCCTTACTACCTATTAATAAGCAGCCAATCAGTAGTTTATTAAGATAAAAGTCTTAATTAATAGCATAAATTGTACTTAATATATAGTGTGACTAGAAGTCTAGTATATTTGATGTCTATTGTGTTGGACATTTGAATTCAGTAACATTACTCACATTGCATATTAATTTAATTATTAATTAAAAATAGCCAGGGACAAACAATAACAGAATGCTTCGGGAAATTATTACATATTTAATATGTTGTTCATCAGATGTGCCAATCACTACACTACAATATAAAAAAAAGACTAATTAGGATATTAAACATGCATAATTATTTATTAATAATTGATCTGATAAACCCATTACTTTAACATTTTGCACACAATTACAGAAAACTGGCTGAACTCAATTTTAACAAGCAACACTGTCATCTGTAAACAACTTGATATATGTTATTCATTTGTGTGTCTGGGTGTGTGTTTGTGTGTGTGCTTACATGCTTAAAGGATTAGTTCACCCAAAAAAAATAATTTACAAAACCTTCATGAGTTTCTGTTTAACAAAACAAGATGGTATGTTTAAAGATTTTGGGAAATTGGTAATCACTGACATCCATTGTAGGAAAAAATAGTGTTAACAGCCATTGACTATTACAAACTTCTTACAAATATCTTCTTTCACATTGAACAGATGACAGAAATGGGGGAAAAAATGTTTGGAATGAGTGAAGGGTATTAAAATACGATACACATACAGTAATATCTTTTTATTTAATACGTAATTGTTAATATTTCATATCTAAACATTGTTTATAAAGTTTTTATCTTAAAATAAAACACAAAAATAAGGCACAGTGTATCATGTTTAAGGAATTTTACATATCAATTTTTATAGTTGTTGTACAGTTTGAAGTTTGTATTGCCTTGTTGTGTTTAAAGGTCAATGGAAATGTCAATAATTAGGGAATAACGTCTAAAAAGTGTACATTGGAACTGAAACTTAACGGAAAAAGATACATTTTATGTATGCGTTTATATCCAGTGAGTAAAAAAGTATTAAACACATCATGATGTCTCCTGTATTTTTCCCTGTGACATGAAATTGTACTAGATTTTGTTAAAACCCAAACGATCTAAACAGAGAAATAAAAACAAAAGAGAAAATAAGTTATGTATTTTGAATGAAATGACAAGGAGAAAGTACTGAACTACTGAAATGTATTCAACACTTTATATAATAGGCTTTGTTTTGGTAATGACTGCTTCAAGAGTCCTCTTTATTAGAAAATGAAGTCACATGCATTGCTTTGGTGTGATTATTTGTCTTCCCCAGACTTCAATCTAAAAATCTTGATGGTTCTGTGGGTCTCGTCTATAAACACAGCTCTTTAGTTCTTATTTTCTATTGGATTTAAGTCAGGAGATTGGTTGGGCCATTATAGCAGCTTTATTTTCTTTTATGAAAGCAGTTGAGAGTTTTCTTGGTTGCATTTAGGATCATTGTCTTGTCGAAATGTAAACCCTGGCTTTATCTTCATCATCTGGTTGTGTAGATGTTGGGACTGAAGCAGCTAATATGCATTAACACTGATGAGAGGAAGGTTTGCTGAACAACTACTAAGATATTTCAGCTGCTGTCTGAGCTTTACATGACTTTTGACACCTCCCTTTCTTCATGTGTTCAATACTTTTCCTTGTTTCATTTCATTTTATTAAACTGATGTAATTAGTTTTGGTTTCTTTGTAAGTATGGATTATGTTGGTTGTTACTGACATTTAATGAAAATTTTAAGTAAACAGCCCCTTTAGAAATACGTTTTGAGAGAAAATGCTGATGTCTTTATTATAATTTTAAATATTTAAATGCAAAGTGCCATAATTTGCGTTTTCACACAATTTCTAATCACCTTTAAGCTTCTGTAGTCTTAATCCCGCATTGTGCACAACATTTTGAAAGTAGTATTCTTACTGATTTTACAAAACAACTTTAGCAAAAACCTTAACATGGGTTTAGACAAAGTGCAACATCAAACTGCAGGACACTGTGTGACAACTATGTCATGTCATGTCAAATACCCATGCGCTGTGGTGTGAGAACTCTGGCATCACAAGATCACAGTTCGGGGCTGATCTCATCAGTCTGTGTGGCAGCGTCCATGAGCCCCGGCTCTTGGCCCAGCCTACGCAGCTTCAGGAGGTAATCAGAGTGAAGGGAGGAATCAGTCAGATCCACAAACAGCCTGTAACTGGCCTGCACCTTCTGGAAGACAGAGAAAAGCTGATTAAATGTTTGTTAGACATGGTAAAATATGGAAATGTCGACGAGCAGAATGTCAGTTGTCAACAGTCAGCATGTTTAGATGCACACCAATTGGCAGAATCAGTTAACTGAGATTGTCCAGATTTACATGCAAACTATTAATCCAGCAATGCAAATAAAAAGCATCTATAAGACTTTACTAACAAGTCAGTTTATTTGGTGGTAGTGACATGAAAATGTAATATTTGCATATATCAGTTAAAACGGTTAATATAGAAATTAGTGCTGGGAAAATATTTATAGTGATTAATTGCATCCAAAATAAAAGTTTGTTTTGATTAAATTTAAGTTTGTGTACTGTGTAAATGTATTATGTTTATATAAATACACACAGGCATGAATATATCTAAGAAAATGTACTTTCGTTTCTATGCATGTGTGTGTGTCAAATATACATACTGTATATTTATAATTACCACACATATATTATGTCTAAACAAACTTTTATTTTAGATGTGATTAATCTTTGCCAAGAGTTTAGATACAAAACCTTTGAGTGCCGTCAGAAATTTCAATCAAAAATGAGCATTATTCTTAGCCTCCTATGTTTATGTTGAGGTTTTCACTTTGAAGACCATGATAAGAGCATATTCTTTGCCGTTAAAGTAAAATTACTAAAGTTGAAGTCAGAATTATTGGCCCCCCTTTGAATTCTTTTCTTTTTTTAAATATTTCCCAAACGATGTTTAACAGAGCAAGTAAATTTCCACACCATGGCTGATAATATATTTTTTTCTGGAGAAAGTCTTATTTGTTTTATTTCGGCTACAATAAAAGCAGTTTTTAATTTTTTAAAAAAACATTTTAGCGACAAAATTATTAGCCCCTTCAAGCTATTTTTTTTTCGCATGCAGAGATAATGGGTTCAAACCCAAGGTGATGCAGCTATAGATGTTAGGTATGAAACGCTCTGTTCTTGTAACACGTTTTGTTTTAACATTGGTCTGACATCTGAATGAACACTTTGTAAATAAATATGTCTTGTTTTGGTCATAAAATTTTGCTACATCAGATACCTTTGCGAACGGAAGTTAGCGAAAATTATGTATATTATTAATTAAATTTCCCATTTATTGTATTTTATTAATGTCAATGCCAACCCTAAACCCAACCATCACAGTAATGTAAAAATATTGATTCTTGTTTTACAGTGTTACAAAAATGATGCTATATTGATGGCGTATGCGCAACTGTATCTTATATAGTCTACATCATAAAACAGTAACAATATTAAAATACATACAATCATAATTACAGTGTATTTGTACAAGTCGGGATTCAAACCCAAAAGCCATTTGCAGCACAGTAACTATGTGCAGACGCACAGTCCACTTCGCTACATGAGACAGATTTATTTTGACCCTGTCAGTCAACTTTACATTCGTCGGGCCTCAAAACAATTCTGAAATGATCGATGCTTGGAATCACTTTAGTCACATGACCAGGTGTTTCAAAACAGTTTAGTCACGTGACCTGTGTGTTTAGAATCACTTAATTCACATGACCTGAGTGTTTCGGATCATGCTTCAGTGCAGTGGACTCTTTTGAATCTCGACACTATGTGTCAAAATGACGTTTCGCGTCAGCCATTCCGATCTTTGCTTTGTTTGTTTTCTATGTTGTTTGCCACCAGGATCGACCACTTACCTGTTATTGACCACTCTTCTGGATTTGCCTGTATGTTACCGTTTGCCCCAGGTTGTGACCATTGTCTGCGTGACCATTCTGTGTGTAATAAATCCTGTCAGCGTCTCCTTCCATGACAAAAGACTCAGCCAAGATGTATTTTCTGTTTTTAAAATCCATTTAATCAGTCTGTAACGATCCTCCAGCTGTGTGAGTGTGTAATCAACAGAATGAGAAACCAGTGTGTGTGTGAGGTGCATACTGGAAGTTGTAGTTTTTACATGTGGTGGATTTGTAGTTCTCCAGCGATCTCCAGTAGTGACTATAACACCAGGATTAGGAAACACTCATACACTCTCACATACACTACGGCCAACTTAGTTTATTCAATTCACCTATAGCACATGTCTTTGGACTGTAGGAAAACCAGAGCACCCGGAGGAAACCCACACAAACACAGGGAGAACATGCTTCACATAGAAATGCCAACTGACCCAGCCTGGACTCAAACCAGAGACCTTCTTGCTGTGAGGCGACAGTGCTAACCACTGAGCCACCATGTCGCCCCCAAAACAGACATTTAATCGTAGTTATTTTTAGTCAAATAATCATTAGCAAAATGTATTTTTTATAGCCCTAGGAGGACCAATAATGCATACACTCGAATCATAAACTAAGGGTGCTTTCACACCTACACTTTTGTTTCGGAACGTATCTCGTTTGCCCAGTTAGCGCGGTTCGTTTGGCATATGTGAACAGGGCAATCGCACTCTGTTCCGCGCCAAAGTAATCGCTCCGAGATCGCTTGAATGAGGTGGTCTCGGCTCGATTGAAACGAACCCTGGAGCGGTTCGATTGTAGTGAGAAAGCGATCCGATCCGAGCGCGGTTGTATCACTGTGTTTTATGGATATGTAATAGGCATATACGGCTATATATGAAGAGAGAATTATGAGTATGGCAGGAAGTTTCGCGAGTCTCCGGATGCCCGCAAACGAGTGATGATCTCCCGGTAATCTCACGTCTCCCTCCAGGTCCTCAAATAGGCATCGTCGCGCACCCTTCTCACCCCTCCCCACCGCGTCTCTCCTCAGACACGTCGCGCACGCGCACCCTGTCAATCACCACCAAACCACCACCTCTCCTGACAGCTTAGCGGGACGCTGCAAAATAAACCCTGACACTCTGACCAATGTAAGGAGAGTTTACTCGCACGTGACTTGTTTTAGCTCTTTTGGTCCGATTAGAAACTTTGCAATGTGAAAGCGAACCGCTCCAAGAGCAAAGAGCAACAATGTAACATTTGTAATCTCTGTTTCGGAACAACTGAATCGATTCACAGGTGTGAAAGCACCCTAAACTTAATAAGTACCAAACGTGAGAGAGAGAGTTGACTAAAGGAGAGAGAGTTTTGTTATTCCCTCTTTTTTCGCAGGGTGTTGCAGATGCTAGGTTTGAGCAGGTCCCATTTTTAGAGCTGTTCATTTATTCATGCTGACCTCATTACAGGGGCTGACCTTAAACTCTGCTTCATACTGAACGCGCTCCCTGCAGGCCTGCTCCAGACTGTTCTGCAGCTGCCGCAGCCTGGAACACACACACACACACACACACGCTCCGTCATGCACCACTTCAAAACATTATTAAAATTAATAAAACAAAACAAGAAAAAAGGAGAGGGGAAAGGCAGCGCTGACAACACAGACTAAATCTATATATTCAAGGATTCCTGGAGGAAAGAGAGAAGGCAAAAAGGTACAAAGAGGGCAGTTGATGAAATTTACAAAAGGTGTGAAGGAGAAAGAGAATGGTTGAGATGCATCACAGCAGGAAGCAGGGCTTGAAGACGGGTGTTTTTGCCTGTTTTGCAGCTCAGATTTCTCCTCTTCGTGTCTATCCTGAAGGACTCGTCTCTCTCTTTCTGTCTTCACGTCGCACTCCTCACCAACTCTTCTCTCGGTGTCCTGCACACACCTCCTCAGACACTCCTGATGCACACACAGACAACACATAAACTGGCAGACTCGCCATGCTCTGCAGTACTTCATTCTGATTGGCCAGATTTTAAGCTATGCAAATTTTGTTTGTTTAACCATTTAAATGTATAAGAAATCAGTTGAGAGCAGTTGTTTTAAAGAAGCAACTGGTCAAATAAAAAGCAGCACTTTTGTGTATCATTTGTTTATGACTTGCTGGCATGAGAAACTGATGCAAATTTAAACTAAGCACTGGTTCAACCGTGCATAATAAGGCTGTTCTTGTGTTCGGAGTGAAGGATTTAAATGGATTAAAGCAAATACAGAAAAAAAGAAGAATAGTAATAATGATTTCATTAAATCTCAGCTATTTTGAAGTAATTATTTCATTTTAGAATACAGTAAAATAAAAGTGTCCATGATCACTTGAAACTGTGAAACAGCAAATAGTTTTTTTTTTTACAATCAATAGTGAATTACGATGAATATGAAACAGATACATTTAATATTGTTTTTATTAAAAACTGCTAAATTTAGTTCTGGGATGATATCTATAAGATACTTGGGGACATATTTTGTATTTGTATTGAACTGTGGTGGTCCTGTGTACTGTTTGGTGTCTGAGAGTATGGGGGAAAGAAGAATTATTTATTTCTTTTAAGAAGTTCTGCAGCACTAAAATGTATGACTTCTAACTGGATGAGATCAGACCCACCTAAGTATGATCAATGGATAAAAAAAATAGAGAAATTTCTGAAATGGAAAGAACTTATTTATTGCTTTAGACTCCTGGTGAATATGGTTGAAGCAAGATGGAACTCAATACTAAGAATTATACATAACTAACTTTAAACATACAACTTAGACTTAGTAAACAGCCACATTATAGACATGATAAGTTTATGAGACATTTCCCAACCCCTCCCACTCCCCTTTTTAAAAAATGTTTTGTTTTTTAACTCTAACATGATATCCACTCACCGGCCACTTTATTAGGTACACTTTACCAGTACTGGGTTGGACCCTCTTTTACCTTCAGAACTGCCTTAATCCTTCATGCTATAGATTAAGCAAGGTACTGGAAATATTCCTCAGAGGTTTTGGCACACATTGACACGATAGCATCATGCAGTTGCTGCAGATTTCTCGGCTGCACATCCATGATGCAAATCTCTCGTTCCACCACATCCCAAAGATGCTCTATTGGATTGAGAGGTCTGGTGATTATGGAGGCCATTTGAGTACAGTGAACTCCTTGTCATGTTCAAGAAACCAGTCTGAGATGATTCATGTGTTATGACTTGGTACGTTATCCTGCTGGAAGTATCCATCAGAATTTGGATGGATACACTGTGGTCATAAAGGGATGGACATGGTCTATGATGCTTAATTGGTACTAATTGGCTCAAAGTGTGCTAAGAAAATATCCCCCACACTATTACACCACCACCACCAGCAGCAGCCTGAACTGTTGATAGAAGCCAGGATGGATCGATACTTTCATGTTAATGCCAAATTCTGACCCTACCATCCGAATGTCGTCAGAGCAGGCAACATTTCTCCAATTTGTCCAATTTTGGTGAGCCTGTGCAAATTGTAGCCTCAGTTTTCTGTTCTTAGCTGACAGGAGAGGCACCTGGTGTGGTCTTCTGCTACTGTAGCTCATCCACCTCAAGGTTCGACATATTGTGTGTTCAGAAATGTTCTTCTGCATAACTCGGTTGTAACGAGTGGTTATTTAAGTTACTGTTGCCTTTCTATCAGCTCGAACCGGACTGGCCCTTCTCCTCTGACCTCTGGGATCATCAAAATTTGTGTCCACAGAACTGCCACTCACTGGAAATGGTATCTTTTTCAGATCATTCTCTTTAAACCCTAGAGATAGTTGTGCATGAAAATCCCAGTAGATCAGTAGTTTCTGAAATACTCACACCAGCCTGTCTGGCACCAACAACCATGGCACATTAAAAGTCACTTAAATCATCTTTCTTCCCCATTCTGATGCTCGGTTTGAACTGCAGCAGATAGTCATGACCATGTCTACATGTCTAAATGCATTGAGCTGCTGCCATGTAAACGGTTGATTAGAAATTTGCGATAACGAGCGGTTGGACAGGTGTACCTAATAAAGTGGCCGGTGAGTGAATATTGTTTAAAAAAAAGTGAGAAACCACTGAGAAACCTATTCTTCTCAGTATTCATCTGTACCCTTATTGACCACTTCTGATGTATCTCTGATTTTGTGTTATGTTCTAATAATAAAATAAATAAAATAAAAAACAAAACTACAAAATTTTAAATCAGAGCAATTGACGTCTCACTGATTCTTTATATTTGATACTGTATCTCTCAGACCAAAAAATAATAAACTAAAAAAATATTGATCTTAATTACAATAATGAACTGTACAATGTATTCACTTATATGAATATTTCCATATTTAGTTTGAAATGGTAATGCACATATGTCTAGCTGAATAAAGAGAGATATAACAGTTTAGACTTCCTTTACACTTTCTGTCTGCACAGTTTTTACTTTTGGCCTGTAAGCCGATTAGATTCTGTGATTAGATTTTGGACCGTTGCCTTAAATGTGGGACAACAACACATAACCTGTGCAGAGCCTGTTTGAAGTAAGTGGTTTACCATTGGGTTTAAATTTCCTTTCATGAATGTTAATGGCAGAACTTTTGCTCTATGTTATCAGATAAGAGAGACAAGATCATTCCACATGTGGCCTCACATCACACACATCTGTGCTATAACACGCATAGGCTTTCTTTAGCGGAAGCTTGAGATAAAACATTGTAACGGTCAAAAGTTAAGAAACATTATCATGTATTACTGTTTTTGAAAGAAGTCTCTTACGCTAACCAAGGCTGCATTCATTTCACTAAATGAAATCAGTAATAGTGTAAAATTAATTTTAGTTTTCTTGACTAATTTTGTTTGTCAAACTTTTTTTATTATAGTTTTTGCAGACAGAAAAGCAAAGAAGAGACAGACAACCCCATCATGTAACAATAATTTGTGCAAAATCTAAAATAAATCATGAAACAAATGACAATGGCAACATACAAGACAAATATTACCTACAAAAAGACACCGCAATGGATGTGAAGATAGAAAAAAAGACCAACAAATCTTTAGAAGTTAAACATTATTCGTCTTTTAAGCATATTTCAGTTTTCAATGTAAATTTATTTTAATATAAAATTAATTTCTGTATATTTCAGACATTATTTTAATATTCCAATTCGCTGCTTAAGAAACATTTTTTATTTCTTATAACGATTTTCAACATTGATATTTCATTTCAATTCAATTCACCTTTATTTGTATCGCGCTTTTACAATGTAGATTATGTCAAAGCAGCTTCACATAGAAGATCACAGTCAATTGAAACAGTGTAGTTGAGTTTTCAGTGTTTAAGTTCAGTTCAGTTTAGCTCAGTTCAGTGTGGTTTAATAATCACCACTGAGGGTGCTTTCACACCTGTGAATCGATTCAGTTGTTCCGAAACAGAGATTACAAATGTAACATTGTTGCTCTTTGCTCTTGAAGCGGTTCGCTTTCACATTGCAAAGTTTCTAATCGGACCAAAAGAGCTAAAACAAGTCACGTGTGAGTAAACTCTCCTTACATTGGTCAGAGTGTCAGGGTTTATTTTGCAGCGTCCCGCTAAGCTGTCAGGAGAGGTGGTGGTTTGGTGGTGATTGACAGGGTGCGCGCGCGCGACGTGTCTGAGGAGAGACGCGGTGGGGAGGGGTGAGAAGGGTGCGCGACGATGCCTATTTGAGGATCTGGAGGGAGACGCGAGATTACCGGGAGGTCATCACTCGTTTGTGGGAATCCGGAGACTCGCGAAACTTCCCACCCCACTCATAATTCTCTCTTCATATATAGCCGTATATGCCTATTATATATCCATAAAACACTGTAATATAACCGCGCTCGGATCGGATCGTTTTTTCACTACAATCGAACCGCTCCAGGGTTCATTTCAATCGAGCCGAGACCACCTCATTCAAGCGATCTCAGAGCGATTACTTTGGTGCGCAACAGAGTGCGATTGCCCTGTTCACATATGCCAAACGAACCGCGCTAACTGGGCAAACGAGATACGTTCCGAAACAAAAGTGTAGGTGTGAAAGCACCCTGAGAGTCCAAACACTGAAGAGAAAATTCATCGATGCGCAGCTCTACTGATATATTTATATTAGGATCACCAGAGAGCAGCAATATGCAGATGCAATGACAAATCTAAGTTAGTTAGGTTAGCTTTTTTAAATTATTGTAACAGAGTGTTGGTTGGAAAGTGTCTGGTGCAAATGGATAGGAAAGAGTGTCTTCTACAAGTGGTTTGTCAAGCTCACTTACCTCTGTAAGTAAATATGAAAAATATTCACTCAAATGAGAAATATTTACTGCTTCATATTAATAAGCAACAAATCATCATATTAGAATATTTTCTAAATCATCAATTGGTCTAGTCAGCAATAATGATGAGACTGCCTACAGGGAGGAGCATCTGGCCACTTGGTGCACTGACAATAATCTGCTCCTTAACACCAACAAGAACAAGGAGCTCATTGTGGACTTCAAGAAGGGACGAACAGGCTCACATGATCCCATCTACATCAATGGGATGGCTGTTGAGCCTGTGTCATCCTTCAAGTTCCTGGGGACCCACATCTCTAAGTACCTTTCCTGGACCACCAACACCTCCTGCCTGGTCGAGAAGGCTCACCAGCGCCTATTTTTCTTAAGGCAACTTAAGAGGAACCAGCTTTCATCAGCCGTCTTGGAGAACTTCTACCGCTGCACAATTGAAAGCATCCTGACCAACTGCGTCACAGTCTGGTATGGAAGCTGCTCTGTCGCTGAGCGTAAGGCACTGCAGCGGGTGGTGAAAACTGCCCAACGCATCAAAGGGACCACACTGCCAGCCATTCAGGACATCCAGAAGAAACATTATCTGCGCCGAGCACGCAGTATTCTTAAGGACACCTCTCACCCTGCTCACAGACTGTTTTCACTTCTGCCTTCCAGCAGGCGCTACAGGCTCCCCTGGACAAAAACCAGCAGACTAAGGGACAGGTTTTTCCCCAGAGCTGTCTCCCTCTTGAACTCTTCCCCTCACTGACTCTTTCGCCCCCCAATACACCCCCCACTATCCTCACAATCACTGCACTGTTTAACATTTGCACATTTAAAAATTGCACATATTCATTGCACTGATTCATTTATTTGAACTTTACACACCCACTGCACATGGACATCTGTAATTATGTACACACCCACTGTACATATACATTTGTAGTTATGTTTATCTATCCGATACCTCTCATTATTAATAGCAACCTATACATATATTCATTTATTGTAAATCTCTCTTCATAGTTAATACAACCTGTATATAATGTTCATAAGTACATCCATCTGTAAATATCACCATAGTTTTTCTATAACTGCACTTTATACCTGTATCCTGCACTTGCTGCTATTGCACAGCTGGTTAGACCTAAACTGCATTTCGTTGTATTGTACTCGTACATGTGTAATGACAATAAAGTTGAATCTAATCTAATCTAATCTAATCTAATCTAATCTAAAGTGACAAAAAACAGCTGAAATGGTGCTGAAAATCTAGCTTAACGTCACATGAACAAAATCATTTTAATATATGATTAATTAAAAGATGGTTTTGGGTTTAAGCATTGGGCAGGCATAAAGATCTAAAACAAGATCATACTTTATATGTGCTAATAAACAGTTAATATCTTAATAATAGGCAAGAAATAAGCCATGGTAAAGAAATGTAATGATGTTGCCCTATTTTAATAAGTCAGACAGCTTTCAACTAAACTGTTTAAGTTTTACTTAATAGTTTTAGTCAGTTTGTTTGATGTTTATATATATATATATATATATATATATATATTAAATGTAACAGTTAAAATATATTGGTTAATAGACAGTTAGTTAAAGATATTAGTAACTAATAACTTTTAAATATTCCAAATTTGATTATAATGCAATAACAGGCACCTTGTGTAAAGCAGCTTTGAAATGATAATTATTGTGAAAAGCACTATACAAACAAACTTGAATTGAATATTGTAAATGGTGTGAACTGTCATTTAAAGTGTCACCACTAAAGGTAACAAAGATGAAGTTGAACAGTTGAAGTCAGAATTATCAACCCCCCTTGAACTTCTTTTTCAAATACTTCCCAAATGATGTTTAACAGAGCAAGGACGTATTCACAGTATGTCTGATAATATTTTTTCTTCTAGAGAAAGTCTTTTTTGTTTTATTTCGGCTAGAATAAAAGCAGTTTAAATTTTTTTAAAAGCCATTTTAAGGACAAAATTATTAGCCCCTTTAAGCTATATTTTATTTCGACAGTCTACAGAACAAACCATCATTATACAATAACTTGCCTAATTACCCTAACCTGCTTAGTTAACCTAATTACCCTAGTTAAGCCTTTAAATGTCATTTTAAGCTGTATAGAAGTGTCTTGAAAAATATCTAGTCAAATATTATTTACTGTCATCATGACAAAGATAAAATAAATCAGTTATTAGAAATGAGATATTAAAACTAATGTTTAGACGTGTTGAAAAAAAAATCTCTCCGTTAAACAGAAATTGGGGGTGGAGTGGGGGGTGGGGTGAATAAGGGGGCTAATAATTCTGGGGGGCAAATAGATCTGACTTCAACTATATAAATATATAAATTATTATTATTATTATTATTATTTAAATCTAAATTCTAAAAACTTAAGGAATTAAGATGATGATGACCATTAAACAAGTCATTGTGAAAAGGGTCCATTGTAAAGCGTGACCAAAACGATAAACACACACCTGATTCTCTTGAAGTATATTCTGTATGAGCCTCTCTCGGCTCTCTTCTTCCTCTTTCTGCAGCTTGGTTTGCAGACTCCTGCAGGCCTCGCCTACGGCTTGGACCTTCTCGTCCTCCATCTGAGCCCTCAGGCCTTCACAGCGCGCTCTGAAGCGGGCCTGCAGCTCGACCCGGAGCTCTCGCCTCTTCTCAGCCTCCAGCCTGGCCTGCGCTCGCAGGGCCTCCTGAAAGCAATCCCGCAGCCTCTGAGATAGAGAACAGAGAGGAAAAGCAGATGAGGAGGACAGAAAATGATGGCTCACTGATGAAGATGGAGAGAACACAAGGAGACAGCGGGCGTTTGGGAAGCGAGGGAAAGAGAAGGATGGATGATCGGTGTTGGCAGGGCGACTGCACTGGGCTTTTGAAGAGGAGAGTCGTCTCTGGGTTTGGCTGCCGCTTGCTTTCCCTGGAGAGCAATTACACAAGCAATTACACCCTATTACAAAAGCTCTTCTCATTCCTCCGACACAATGGCAAAAGCTCTGACTGCTACCGGCGTTGGAGTCGCAACCGGATCATTCATTAAATCTGACACTCGGATGCAGCGAGGAGAGAAGCCGAGGATTACGCCGCTGCCGGACAGGGAAGAAAAAAAAAAGAAGCTGACTCTTTTTATCAGAAAGTTTTAATCAAGTCCTAATAAAATCTGCTCCCCGGGAGACTGAAATATGGCTTTCTGGATTCCTGGAGACACAGTGTTAGAGTCTAATATGTCTGTATTAATTACTTTTTTCGACACGGTTCACTTGAGGATTACAAATATTCACCTCCTCTTGGAGTCTAAGGGCAGCACGTCTCTCTTCGTCTGCCAGCTGCCGAAATTCCTCCACGGCAGGGGCGTCAGGCTGTTCCCGTCCAATCGCAGGCCAAGGATTGACTGAGTTTAGAGACTTGAGGTGGTCATCTGCTTTTGCCTTGGGAGAATACCACGGACTCAGGCGTTCTCCTAGTTCTGAGAGCAGAAGTGATTTTGGCATTAGAGTCACGATCATAAACACACTGAAAAACAGATTCAATTGGATTCACAACATTTTTTAAGGTAAGTGGTTTCAAACTGATGTATTAGCCAATATATCCATATTATGTTAAACTGGCTGAATTTAAACAAATTAAGATGAACAGTACTTGTTTAAAATCAGTCCATGTGAATTGTTTGAAACCACTTACCTTAAATTTGAATTAAATACTTTTTGGCATTTGGATTTTTTTTGTTTGAATATTTTTTTATTAATTTCCATATATATCCATTTACAAACCCTATAATCCGTATCTAGAATAGAACAAAGTGTAGCTGTTGATCACTTCAGTCTAAAATTACAAGTATTTGGAGAAACAAAGCAATGATAATAATAACAACAAAACAAACAAAACAAAAACTAAACAAAAATAAATTAATAAAATAAATAAATACATAAATAAATTATATATGTATATATATTTGTAGGGTATTACAGAAAATGGTCAACATTTAATAAAGGGGTGCCATATCTTATAGAATTGTTTACTCGATCCTTTTAAAGGGTCACGAAACACCAAAAACATGTTGTGTTATTTCGAGCAAATTTGTTCTTATGAAAATAAATTTTAGAGCTACGTCACAACGATTAGATCCTTGTGTAAATTCCAGCATGGAGACTGGATGTCTAAACCAGCGGGAACTAAGTGACTTCTTTGAGCATTCAGTATTAATTCATGAGAAAGAATTTCAAGTCTTTCCAAACTGCCAATCAGCGCGCTCTATTGTGCATGCAACTTCATTAATATGCAGGATAGCTTCGAAGACTGTTTTTACCTGTTACAGTGTTCAGATGGCAGAGAGACACCACATTGCGTTTCCAACCGTAATTAAAATCAAGTGGAAGAAGAATTGCTTGAAGACCTGGGTCATCAGTGTTGCATGTATAAATGTTAATAACGTTAATAAACACTTTAATCAAACTATTACTGTCGTGTAGGATTTTCGCCGCATTTTGTGACAGGATAGTCTAGATACACATGGCTTTCTGACGCTACCTACAGAGTGCATCTAAGTTACCAAAAAATGTGAAGTTTTTTTTTCTCCTATTCACCATGCGGTACCAAACATTCCATTAAAACTACACTCTTCCAGCAGTTCCTCGCATCCAAAATCTTGTTTGTCACAGGGGCATGCATGAAATGTTCTTGAATGAAAATAAAAGTGCCAAACCGCAGTTAAAGTTGACAGATTCAGAGTTTGGCAATTAATTTGATGTGCATATATGTTCATATAAACATAGTGACTGTCATTCTCCCCTGTGTCTGTGTGTTGTTTTGCCTCTGTAAAAATTAGTGTGCTCAAATCAAAACCTCCCTTTTTTATGCAATCCCTTATCTGTTTCTTGTGTATGTATGTATTAAAGTACCCTCAGCGACCTGGCATCTATTACACAAAGAGCTGACACCAGGTAACATTTGAGCTGATCATCTGAGAGTGGACTACCAAGGTCCTTCTCCCAGGTCTTTTTTATGTTATCTATAGGGGAAGATGTCCGATTTATCACCAAATTATAAATAATAGAAATGGAACCCTTAACTATGGATTTTTAATGATATGTATTATTGACAGCAGATTCTACTATGCTATTCTGCTTCATGAGGAAATGTCTCGCAGGACGCACAGAAAAGGAAAACCATAAATGTGCTCTAATATCGCACGCGTTTATCCTGGACACAGACAAGATTTAATGGAGAGTAAATGAAAACTTTGGTTTAAGTCTTTCCACATGTTCATCCTGTGGAAAAAAAGGCCATATGTCTTCTAGACTTTCAGAAGAGAAATGTCTCGCCAAGATACCAAAGCCTGTAATATAAGGAGATTTCCAGTGAAAGCTTTCTTTCGAGATCTTGCAAATGCTGCCCATATTCATTTTAAGTTGTATATTTTAGCCGTTAATAACCGGCTCTCTTTATATTTTATTATGGTTTTATCAGAAGTAATCTCAGGTTAAAACATCAGAGGCACAATAAATGAAACATAACTAAAAGCTTAATTAAAGGGATATGTAAATCAAAAATGAAAGCTCTGCCCAGCCGTTCAATCATTCTAAGCCATGACTGACTTAACTCTATGGAATACAAAAGGACAAATCTTATATTATTTATTATCAATTATGGGTTCACCCAAGTTGCACATTAATCATCATTCCAGGTTTGGTCTAAAACAGAAGTGCCCTCAAGAGTTTCTGCAGGACAGCAACTGCAGGTAAATGTTTCCTAAACGCAATATGAAGACTTAAAATAACATGTAGCCTGTTGTAAGCAATGGAGTTCACACTTAGCTGATGATTGATTACAAAGCATGTTTAGCATGCTGTCCCGGGTGAAAGCCCTGAGGTGATAAGATCCTCAAGCCAGATGCTCCTTCCCGTTTGCATGGTGAGAGGGGAGTTTGAGCTCAGGTAGGTCTCGAGAATTCCCCTGCTTTTTTATGGCTAATGGCACTTAGAGATTGCTACGGAAAGCTTTATTGCTGATTAAGAGCTCATCTATGCTGCCAACTTGGTTTGGTCAATTCACCTATATTGCATGTCTTTGGACTGTGGAAAGAAACTGGAGAACCTAGGGGAAACACACGTGAGCAAGGGAAAAACATGTAAACTCCACAGAGAAACGTTGACTGGTTAGGTAAGAAATTGAACCAGTGATATTCTTATTGTGAGGCGTCAGTGCTAACCACTGAGCCGCCCTATCAAAGAAAAGAGAGGAGAAGTAGGGGTGAAAGAGGAGATTCTTTAAGAAGAAGATAACTGAGGTAAGAAACACTGATCATTTCTAGTGAGTTAGAAATCATCCGACTGGCGAATCATGTGTTAGCTAATGCGAGATCAGCCATAGTCAATCATAAGTATGTGATCATCTGGAAATTAATTAAATCATTTTCACATAGCATAGAAGTAAAAACTTCACACAACTAAACGTACAAAATCATTTTAAAATATATTATTTCGGAAATATATCATTTCAGAAAGTGTCTTCAAATAGGCCTAGATTAAGTTCTTGCAGGACAAAAATGCAATCTCATTTTTTGGTGAGATATCCCTTTGAGTTCCACAAAAAGTCTTTCCTTTGGGTAACATTCAGTACTGTCGTTAATTGTAATTATAGAGTGAGAATAATGTCTGCACAAGGAGTCTGACAACAGCCAGTGCTCCACAAAGAGATCTGATCGGATCATCTAGTCTGTCTGGAATGACATGAAGAAACAGAACAAACAGAGAAAAAAATAAATAAATCCAGAAGAACTTTGTCAGCATCTTAAAGATGCTTCAAAAAACCTACCTGCAAAGCTACAGTACCGCTCAAAGTCATAGACACTTGTGTAAAAATGCTGTAAAAAGAGGATGCTTTCAAAAATAAAGCATAAATAAATTATTTGTTAATTAACTTGTATTAACTAAATCAAAAACATTTGGTGTGACCTGACTGCCAAATTTCTTCTGGATTTAGTTTGTCTGAGTTTGTTCTGTTTTTTCATGTCATTCCAGACAGACTGGATGATGATCAGATCTGATCTCTGTGTGGAGGAGAGGCTGTTGTCAGACAATAATCTCACTGTATAATTACAATTAATGACAAAAATAATGTTTGGAAATGCAAGTTGATATTTCAAACTGACATACTTCAGAAAATATAGAAATAACCAACTCTAGACCTGTTTTATGTGAAAATACTAATGGCCTAAGACAGTGGTTCTCAAACTGTGGTACGTGTACCACTAGTGGTACGCGGGCTTCCTTCTAGTGGTACACGGAGGAATGAAATATGTCATATACATGCTACATATAATTCAAAATTTATTAAAAATGATGTACATAATATGCTATATATTATATATAGGCTATATTTCTGAGGTAATCTGCCTGGTTTTTTTTAACTGTGCAGAGTTTTAGCTGCTTTACTGGTCCAACTACGCTACGGTATTTCAATGTTGCTCATTTTGGTGGTACTTGGAAAGACAATGTTTTTCTAAGGTGGTACTTGATAGAAAAAAGTTTGAGAACCACTGGCCTAAGACTTTTGCACAGTACCATAGACACTCACCGACCACTTTATT